ACATATATTTCTATTCAAAAAATGACCGAAAATCAATTTATTTAATTGAATAATAATGATTTTAAATGTTTTTGACAAAATTGTAAGTTGTTATATATAGTAAAAAATATACATTTGATAAAATTATCTTTTCTTTCAAATTATAAAATCAAATCTAGTTTCATTTCGAGCGTCATTTGTTAGCATTACATCGAATCGCTAAACAAACATTGATAGGAAAACGAAGAGTTTATTAATCTTTCCCATCTGCTGAACATAAGAAGAGATAATTTTAGGCGTTATAATGGAGTTAAAGTTCAACTAGATACTTTATTTGAACAAAAGTCACGTAGGTTTTTATTTAAAATTATAGCAAGGTCGTTGGCTCAATGGCAGATAATGGCAGACACGTGAATTTTAGTAACCTATATGACATCATTTGACGTTGTGTGCGCTTCCCACCTCATTATATAGAATCCAACTAGGTCAGAGCTAAGGTTAGATACCTTATGAATTTAACTTTCTAAATTTTTGTTTACTGATCTGTTCTATCAAAAATAACATTTTNATTTGTATATAATTTTCTAGCGATAAAATATAGTAAACTAATGGAAGAAACAAAAACTTTAAAAATAAAAATTATACTTTATGAATTAAATAATTTTATAAACAATTCCTGTTCATAATTTTGAACTAATTTTAGATAATTTATGTACCAAAATTGGGACAATAATAGTTTAATAGGTCACGTTAATATCTAAACTTTGGTGTATAAAAATATCTGGATATTTACATATTCTTCTAAGTGAGGAACGGATACGATAGCCTGTATCTCTCGGAAATACTTATTCCAAATTTAAAAGAGGATAATATCATCACAAACAAACACGAGGCGAAAGTCGAGTGATAAAAATTTCATTTAACGCGAATACAAAGCATCTTTATTGTTCGATTATCACAGTTGTTTTTAAGCATAAACGTCCCCCTCTTTCTTTCTATATTATATATGGTAACGGCATAATTTAAGATATACAGGTATAAAGAATTTTCTTATACTGTTATATTAAACTGTTAAATTTGTAAGTAATCAATTCAATTAAACTGATTATTGATAATCAATTTCACTGAATTGATTTTCAGTTATAAATTAGAGTTTATTTTTTTACTTACAAGTTTAATTCCATAATAAAAGTCCATAATTCCCTGCGTGTAAGCCCACCAGTAGCCAAGTGGTTAAAACCACTGAATCGGTCGCGAGTTTACGCCTCACCGACAGGCTGGCCATGTGGAGTTTTCCGGGTTGTATAAAATTAACATTAGAGACCAGTTTACCATAGAAAATCTTCTTGGAGTTATTCCCTTTTGACAGATCGCCCATGTATTACGTTGTTATGTCCCACCAAACCATTGCGTGTAATTCCTTCATAGAAACGTGAATAAAATCTATTAAATAATATTTATACTTGTATTTAGAGGGAAAATGTAAATATTGATTATGCGATTGAATTGCTTCATTGGTATCCATTTCGGAAATTTTTTCTAACATGAATTAGGCCTATATCTCGTAAATGACTTTTATTCAAAATTATGTTATGAAACATTTCAATAATCAAAACTTAATTAATTTCCTTGATAATTTGAAAAACATTTCTTGCACTATTTGCATTTTTTTAAACTTTAAGAATTAATTATGATATTATAGTCATTTTTAAAAACTCTTTCCGCCCTGTGGGCACTAAGAGGGCCTCTTTTAGCAAGCCCATTATTGCTTTGGCCAGACCCATAATAGTGCGGCCGGGGTGATGAACGGGGCCTGATATCTCCGGAATGAACACCATCCGAAAGATTTCTGGGGTTTTTTGACCCATCCGGATTCGATTCCAGGTCTCCCACAGCGGTAGGATGCTACCTTGACCGCTCGGCCAACCGGTCTATTACAGTCATTTGAAATTATGGACTTGGTAATCTGTCTTCTTGTTTATGTGTAGCTATATTTTCAAGTTCATTTTATTTTATAAACTTATAAAAATAAAAGTTTTAATTTTATATTTTCGATATAAAAACTTTTAAAGATATTCCAGTTGTTCATGCAGTTTCTAAAAAGTTTAAACTATGTTTTTCTATTGTCGCAATATTGAGTTAAGATCTCAAGAATAAAATTTGGAATGCAATCAATTTAGGAACGATCATTGCCTCTTGAAAGTATGTATGTTTATTATAATAGAAATTTCATAAACAGATCGTGATGTATATCATATTATAACTTTTAAATTTTGATTTTGTTTTCATGTATATTTTATTACTATGTTTTAATTAATTTATCAAAATATGAGTCGTCTAATTCCAAATCTGAATTTAGAAAAAAGTTTTATGGAGCGCAAACAATAAGTTTATTCTGTAACAATAAGTTAACTCTGAATTTGTAAGTTTAATATTAAATATAAATTAATTTGGAACAGTCAGATATTATTATAATATAAATATCATTTAATCTGAATAAAAAGTAGTTGTTGGGCTCTCCTGGAGAACCCAGGAGTGCTCAGCGACATGGTCCCTGAAAAGTTTCATTGCATTTACTCAAACCGTGTCGAAATGTACAACGAAAAAACTAGCAAATTTTCTTCTTTTTACAAGTATATTAGATGATGAACATATCCGGGAGTGACCACACCCAAAAAATTTCTGTTTTTTGACTCGTCTGGATTCAGTCCCGAGTTCCCAAGAGAGGTAGGATAACACCTTTATCTCTCGGCCATCCGGCCGTCCTTCACGATAATCCTAGAAAAAAGGCACTCTTGGTGTCTTTTTTCTAGGATCATCGTGATGACCATAGATGTTTTTCATTTAAGACACAATGTACATAAAATGTACATACTTAAATAGAATGAAAAACATCTGTGGTTTTAAAAATAAATTTTCTGATTAATTATGTTGTCATGATGTAAACAGTTGAATTATTTGGAGAAAAATGAGAAATAAACAAACCTATAAATATTTTAAAAGAATTTGGAAAAGGAACAACAAATTGTTCCCAATCCAAATTCTTTTAATATATTTATAGATTACATATATTTCTATTTATGAAGAAACACACACACAAAATAATAATAATAATTGATTACATTATCTTGCCAATAGAATTAAATATTGCCTTAATTTAAAAAAAAAAGTAATTTGAAATATTTACTTTCAATCCTACTGATCTTATATAAATATTATGAATAATTATTTTACAATTCCACACTCGTTAAGCAATAATTTTCAATAACAATTTGCGCATTTTATTTATCATTAAAACAGGTTCTAAATCAGTGGCGTGCCGTGACATTTGATGATTGGGAAGATGTGTTTCTGTAAGAAGCCGACTTCCAGGAGCGATCAGTTAATTCTTTCTTTAAATGTATTTTTAATAGATTATTTATCTGATGTAATTAATAAATAAACAAGTTCAATATAATTACCTCTGTTATTAGATTCAATAGATTCCCTATACCCTCTAAATGCCGATTCTTGCTTTGATATAGCATGTAACATATCTCATCTATTAATTTAAATATATCTATTAGCCGTAACTATCTCGTTATAATTTTCAATATTTATTTAAATGTATTTTTAATAGATTATTTATCTGATGTAATTAATAAATAAACAAGTTTAATATAATTACCTCTGTTATTATATTCAATAGATTCCCTATGCCCTCTAAATGCCGATTCTTGCTTTGATATAGCATGTAACATATAACATCTATTAATTTAAATATATCTATTAGCCGTAACTATCTCGTTATAATTTTCAATATTTATTTTATATTATTTACTAATGNTCTGACAGGTTTTGATATTTATCGCGTCTCGCCTCTTCTCGCCACATATTCTCGCTCTCTCGGACAATTCGCTCGCTCGCGTCTGCATAGTCGCACCCTAATTGGTAGCGAGTACACGCTTAGGCGACAGGCCAATCACGTAAAATTTACCATATCTTCTCCACGTATTTACACGGAAATAAAAGAGATTTCCATAGAAATTTATTACGATAAATTGTTTTTTCTCAAATCGTTTAAGCGTTACGTTGACATATTTGACAAAGTTACTTTTCGTAAAACTAAGAGTATATGTTTCATACCGATATAAAATTTTGCAATTTATAAATTTACTCTGAATTATTAATAAAAGTAGAATATTAGGATGCTACTAAAGTTTGAAAATACACGTGTAGAGACTAGAAAACTAAAACGGGAAAAAAGTAGTAACAATCACGTTAAAAAACTAAATTAAATAAACATTTTTTATTTGTTGCAATGTATAGTTTACTTTTTATGAGTGACATATTTTTAACTATATTTCCATATGTACTAAAATGAAACTCATCAAGATCATTTGTCAAAGAAATGAATTATCTCCGGTAATAGTAACAATTACAAACATTCAAATGTGAATGTTCTGTGTTTAAATAGAAGGTTATATTTGTGGTCAGACGAAGGTATAGAATATCTACTAATGTTACCAGCAGGTAGTTGGTGTAGACTTGAAATTAATGATTATTATGTTTTACAACCTATCTTTAAGTCTTGATTCTCACCAATTCCTACTCACTATTTTTATTGCAAATCCATAAGTTATTTGTTATTGAAAAAAAATTCTCACTGGTTTTCTGTTTCAAAATGCTTACTTTATATTTCGATCATTGCATGAATAACGACTATGTATGAATAAACAGCAGACAATTCATCCTGAACAAAAGCTTCAAAAGCTGTTTTTAAGTTCGTCTCTTGTAGCAGAATCAAAATTCTGCTGCAAGAGACGAACTTAAAGTCAAAGCAAATTCATTATTTTTTTTTCAAAATAATCAATTTTTTGGGGAATTTTTTATAAATATTTATTTAAAAATCAAAACGCACCAATGAAAGTCGGAGTGGTTGGAGCCGTAGAGACGAATCGTATGGCATATTGGCCATTTAAATGGCTCGTCTGGATGTAGGCGGTTCTTCAAGAAAGACATAAAAAGCGAATAATTATTCTGTGTTTATCTTTTTAACATTTCCTATAAGCGTAGGAAGTTGGTTCTAGTTCCCATCAGATTATTTTAAAGCGGAAGAGCTGTTTTTTTGAAGAAAAATTGTTTTGAAACAAACTTTATACCTATGAAGAATCTAATTCTATTTTTATTCCTGTTAGGTAAGTTTGTATAATCTTGATTGAAAAATGGTTTTTCTACCCCCATTGAAATTTTGACCTTGATCAATGCAAATTTTAATGTTTTGTATTCTAGAAACGTTCTACTGTATTCGTTTAGAAATGCGCCATGATTTAAATTTGCCAGTTATTAATATTTTAATCATTAATTTTTACTGTTTATTAATTGTTTTATGTCATACACGCTAACTATTGACCGTTAACTAATCACTTTAATTCATTACAGATTATTTATCTAGTTATAAAATTGAACTAACTAAATTTAATGCATCTCAGCATTATTATTATTATAAGTTTATATTGTTTTCAAAGTTTAATAAATCGTTATGTTCAGGTTATAGGTCAAGTTCGTTATTAAACTGAAAATTATTCTCGTTTTGAGCTGGTTAAAAGGTTAAAAAAATATATACAAAAATAGTATTTATTTACATATATATGGCAATATGATGGATTAAATTTGAATTACAGTTACAAAAAATAGCTGCAATGCGTTATGCACAATGTTTATCGTCTCCTTGAATTATGGACGTTTAAATGCAAAGCATTAAATCTAGTCTGACATAACTAAGCGTTGTTCTCATGTGAGGTGAACGGCATAAATAACTTTTAGAAAGTTGTAAACGCCCTTTTTTTCTTCTTTTTTTTTACCTTGAAGGAGAAAACTGTTTCAGTTTAAAGATAGTTTAAGTGAGAAAGACGGATATAGGTTTAAATTGTTTATATTCTTAGCAAAATTTTTAAGTTGAAATATTCAAGTGGATCTATATCATACGAAAGTAGTTTTACGAAGAATAAACTATTAACTAAATTTGGAAAAGCCATGAAATATTGGCATTGTATTTGTATGAATCTATACAAATACTCTATACACTCCATATAAGAAAGTATGACTTACAGGCATACTATTCTTTGAAGAGATGTTTGACAAGGTGACCACACAGATCGCGCTACTTCGTGTAGCATCTACTGTCATTGTCAAGAGATTGCAATTAAAATTTTGTATTTTTGTACAATGCAGTTGTCTATTTTAATTTATTTAACCTCTGACAAACAAGTTCTCAGAATATTTTTGTATATTATCTCAATAATCACTTGAAAGATGAGTGATGATTTACCAAATTTCTCACAATTTTCATTTCACTTATAATTAAGTGAGAGGATGAAAATTGATATTAGATTGATTTGGAATTCATTTACGTCAATTTCTTGTAAAATTTATTAACTTCTAGGCCATTTCAGTATAAGTAGCGTGTAGATGGATATTATATTCTGTTTCATTTACTTCTTTCGCTCCAATTGGTGGTGTCTAACAAGTGTCACAAGATTTAGCTTCCTATGATTAATGAATAGCATTTTAGCATTTTTTTTACACATCTTATGAGCTCTAATTTCGTCAACATATCAATTTTCGAATTGTCTAGCTAATTACGATCTTTTATTTTCTCGAGAGAACCTTGTCCTCTTTTCTCTATAATCGTTATTTAAAACAGAGATTCTATAAGCTTTCTTTACAGTTTAAAAATATCAACAACGAACACCTTTAGAAGTTATCAGTTGACCTAGTTTAGCGGAAAAATTTGGCAGGTGACAAAACTTTTTAAGCGATATTAACAGCTCATTAACTGTGTTCACTGACTAAGCTAAAATAAACAAAATATTTTAAAAATTTTATTCTGATATATCTCAAAATTAAAAACAAAAATACGCAACATAATTACAAAAAGTAAAAAAATGCAAAGTCAAGAAGATTTAACATCAGAACTTTTTGAGAATTTTACAAAATAAAGAAATACATGTTGCGTATATGTTCTCACTTAATGTCATTTTGTTACAACGTTGTTGAGGAAACACACAAGTACATTTGTAATCACTTACAGTTATTGCTTTGCACTTTCTTTATGAACTGTAAAATTGATTCTATGAGGTTGAAATTAAATGCTAGAGGTTTGAAACTCGATCGAATAGGAAACTTATTTCTTGTTTATATCATTTACCCTATGTTAAAATTAGTTTCGTTATACATCGTTTTGCTAAACAATATACGAGTATATTACTATAGAAATTATCTCAGTTTTATATGACCTGTTTAATGCAAACTCACTTCAACCTTATTTCTTTTACATGTAATTTTCTACTAAATAAAAGGAATTTATTTTTAATGAATATCAGAAAGAAATACTTTAGTCTTGTTTTAGTTTGATATTCTTAAAGAATGTCTGGAAGCAAGTTTAATAAAAAGCTGTAACAGAAAATTTAATGACCTGCATTATAGATGTTACCGAATTGGCCAAACTCCAAATGGATATCATCCAAAGCTACGCCTGCGAAATGGCTATTGAAACAGAAATGCTTCAATTGCCTTTACATAAGCGTAATTTTGGATGATGTGACGGAGTGATTACGCTTCTTTAGTGACTCATATATTAATGACGAATTTCAGGATTTAAAAAATCCAATGCGAAAAACAAAACTGAATTAAAAAGAATGATAATTATTATATTTTGAGGAAAGTAGTTCACCGCATAATAAAGACGTAGATTTATTGTTTAAGCATGATTTAATTTTTCAGAGTTCGTTGCAGAATAAATGTAACGAGTTTGTAGAATATTACAAACAAATACTACATATCGATAATTAAATACATATANAAAATTATAATTAAATATAGCTTTGTAAAGAAACGTACATAAAAATAGCATAAAATATTCTTTACTTTTTAAATTTTAATATAATTCACTTAGTCAAATAGCTTCCTACGAGTTGCTAATGGATGGAGTTAGAGACGGTTGCAGTGCGTGCATACGCGCGGACTGCCAAATCCCCAGGGTGACGATACTGGTCAATATCAACTAGTGTCACTAGCTTCCACTGCCAAATTCGTAATAGTTTCGTCGAAAATGTGTGAAAGATAGAAGGCTGAACTACCCGCGATTACCTGAGCCAATTTGAATCTATCGTAAATGGTGCGTTTCAGACGTTTCGACTTGCATAATGTATGATGGCCACCTTTTCTATAGTCTGTGGGGCACCCGCATGACTATAGAAAAGAGGGCATCATACATTATGCAAGTCGCAGCAAACTATGATTTAAGGTCGAAGCACAGATGGCTTTGGTTGCAACTTGGAGCTAACTTGGCCTTAAAAACAAAGAACATTCCTGATTTTCAAGNTTAACTGTGTTCACTGACTAAGCTAAAATAAACAAAATATTTTAAAAATTTATATAAATTTAAAACATTATTTCCGATATAAATCAAAAGGAAAAAGATTATTATAACCTCGATATCTTCGATTTTAATAAAAATTATAAATCAACCCCATACGGTTAACAGGATGATAAGACAGGGAAAGATCTCACCCACGCTTTCTTCTATCTCTGTAACCCTGACCCACAGTTAATATAGGTTGCTTCCCTTCGCTGCAGGAATTACAGCTGTCTTATATCGAAGTTTCAGTATTCATTTATATGCGTTTATCTTCACATTTTATAAAATCAATGTTTGATGTTTAACAGATCTGTTAATTAATACTTTTTATTTCAATTTATTTTATCATCATGTGAAGATTTCTTCACTCGTCTTCTCGGCTATGTCTAATTAATGTATAAAATGGATGTGTCGAAATACATTTACTAATAAACCTCTTAATTAATAAGCAAACGAAATTATATGCCATTTATACTGTCTGTGATACTGCTCACAACAATAATTTATCGATAATTCAGAGCTCCATTTTAAATTTGTTTCTGTATTATTTTGGCAATCCTCTACTTAAATCTTATCATTAATATTTTAAACAATTTTAAACGAATTTTTGATTTCTAAACAACTGTCAGTTATTCGAAATTTAATATTTATTTATTTATTTCTATGATTGATAATGAAATCAAATGAAAGATTTTCATGAAGATAATATTCTGCCAAACGGCGAGTTTGTGTTTGTTTAGTGGAGTGTTGACAAGTGTAAGCATAATTCTTATCTGCAGAATTATCAAAATTATGACAAGTATGGTGGGGATAAAATACTATAAATATCTATATCACATTTCTATTAGCATAAAAAAAATAAAAAGAAAGAAAAATTAATGAAGCTAAAGTAAGCTTTAGCTGATTAGACTATGTCAAGAATAAAAAGTGTCTTTGTTAAAAGGAAAAATATACAGTATAGGCTATACTAAATTGTAAGAATTATTAAGATTTGTAAAAAGAGTTTTGTCACTTTTTCAACTTAAAAGTTTCCAAGAAACTATAAAATCAGCTTTATAATGACGAAATAGTTTCTTAATTTACGAAGTAACATCTCACAACAAATCTTTTCATGTAGACTTCAGCGAAAGTCGACTACAAGGAGAATAAAACTCTAGTCCAGTTCCAGATCCAGCTCTAACCTATAAGAAATAGTCTGTTCTGATATGTTACTTCATCATTATAAATTTACTTTTATAGTTTACTGAAATCTTTTTTTTAAAGAAGAAGTGTTTTACAAGTTTTTACAATATTTGTAAATTTTTAAAACTTATTTACCGTAATAATTGAGATAGTTCGGAAGAAAGTCGACTACAAGAAATATAAAAACTCGGCTCCAGTAGTAGCTTACAAGGAAAGGTCTGTTATGAGTTGTTACTTTGATAATTAAAGAACTGTTTCGTCATTATGAATTTGTTTTTATGATTTATTGGAATCTTTTAAACTATAAAAATTATGAAAATTGAGTAATACTAAACGTCATCATTTTTAACAGACTAAAAGAATGTGAGAGCCATACTTTTTACAATTTTCAGATTAAAATTTTAAGATCTATCACATTAGGAATGTAGCAAATCCGTATTAGTTGCACTAATGTATACAAATATAGCTATAAATTACATTTTAATAAATGCATTTTATCACATTCAATTTACTTTTATAGTAGTCTATTATGTATAGTAAATTCTAAATAGTAATTGTATAGGCTATATCAATTAAATTAAATTGATGTATTTCTTCACTTTTATCAAATGAATACGATGAATTTATACTTTGTGAAAAGCTATTTATGTTTAACATTAGGCTTTTTATGTTTTAAATTTCATTAAGCAAGTTATTTAAATTTTTAATATATCTGAAACTAACATACATTATATTGTGGGTTCACAGATCTATAAAATTTATTATAATATACACTGTATATTATGAAATATAGGCTTTAATACATTTTAAATAGAAATTTTAAAATAACTTATAACAAATATAACTTTTTTGTACTGTAAATAAAAGTCATAAATCATTAAATTATTCTTAACGTAGATTAAACTATATAGATTTTAAATTAAACTGGCACTTTTAAAATTTATTTATTGTCCCTCAACTCGGTTTAACTAAGGTCAAGATTTTTTGCCTATTATATAACTTTACAAACCATTTGGGATTGAGTATCACGTCTCCCGCTTAATTCCGATAGTAATGTACGATAATCTTTTTTATGTGTCTCTTTTATCATCAATAAAGTTTACGACCGCTTCTTACAGTTCAAAGGCGACATTAGCTATCGAATGACTTTCTTACCATCAAGCATCTTTGCAGGTCGTTATATTGAATTTTTATCTTTTTAATAAAACAAAGATCAAAGAGAATAATCACGAAATCACTCATTTCCTAAATAAACTATTTCTTAAATTTCAGTTTATTATACAGTATTTATTCTTAGAAATTTTATTAGTTTATAATAAAATGAAGCTAAAAATAAATCTCTTTTTTTCAGGACATTGTTTAATGATTGTAACTCAAAGTCAGACATTCAGAATAAATCCTCGTGTAGCACAGCAAAATAGGTAAGATTTCGTAATTTTTAATTAAAATTTTTATGGACAGTGTCACCAATACTATAATAACAGTTGTATTCTTTTGTATGCACAAAATTTATAGAACATCGAATTTCACCGAATAAAAACAGTGAATTTCATGTTTTCCTCTCTTTACATTTGGTAACTTACTGTTTGACAGTGTTTTAATTACAATTCTTTGAACTTGAACGATGTATTAAATCATCGAATAACTATTACATTTTCTATGGAATATTCTTATAATGTATTTTATCATAAATTGTTAAATAATGTAAACGAGTAGGAAGTTGAATGGATGGTCGTACGCAAATATTTAGGTTTTATAGTATATGCAACATTGGAAAATGCTAATTTAGTTTGATGGGATAAGGCAATCAACACGAGGACGCTCTGCTAAGGGGAGTCCTCCCAGGAAAGCACTTCTTCCCGGGAGGACTTTCTACGAGAAACTAACTGCCTCTATTTAGGATTAAACGTTTTTGTTCTCAAAACAATATTGCAGGGCGGTATTAGCGCATTCTCATTTTCTTAGGGGCTTCATCTCACTACTCATTACTAATGTTTTTGTTCTATAGAATATTTCTAACTGCATAATCACTCTAAAGATTTTAAATTGATTCGGTCCCCAAAAATGCTTAAAACGACTATACGTCTATTTAATTCAATATAATTTACCATATCAACCATATTATTTTTAATAAGAATTTTTATCTGCAATTATTCGATGCCTTGAAAATAAAGTTTTCAGTGTGTAATGTAATAAATTTAATTTATTTTATTTTTACATACTGTATGTCGCTTCGACGATTTTAGTTTCTGAATCGGATACAGTCATATTATTAGTACAGTCATATATATAGTTGGAACTATTCTATATTTTTTATAATAAAATACATCCAGAGAAATGTGAGTCGTTATTTTAATTTTAAATGAAGTAAATTAATTCGACATTTATATAATTCGTTTTTTATTCAAGTTTTTAATAAATCATGTATATAAACTGTATATAATTTCCAAATTTTAATGTAATATAATGTTTTATATTTACAATTTTTAAGTTAATGACCTTAATCATTAAAAAATATGATCTATAACGATATTTGCTTCATATATTTTCTCTATTCTCATTAATTCTCTAAATTTATTTTTATAAAATGGAAATTTTTGAATTTTTATGTATAAATCGAAAAAAACGTACGCTTAGAAATGAGAAAAGCGCACTTATTTCTAAAAATGTTTTTTAAAAGTTATTTTTATATCTAATTATTTCGAAAAAACAATAAAATGAAAATACTTTTTATATTAGTATAAGTAAAACGTAAAATAAAAAACTGAGAATTAAATTCTGATCGAAAATGTTCGTTCAAGTAAACTTTCATTGATTATGTTATTTTACAGAGTATAATGATAATGTCAACTGACACAAGCTTTCATACTAAATCTATCATTTTGTTTTACTATTAAAAATAAATAAATGGAACAATGCGATAATTTAATAGAATTTCATTCCAAATTAACAAAAGTATGAAGTATTTAGAAATGTATATCAATTATTTTTGCATTATATAATTTAGCGTTTATGAGAATTATCGTGTTTGGCTTCTCAGTCTTCTCTTCCATTTATAGATTTATAAATTCTCACGGTCGTCCGTCTGTCCGTCTGTCTTTCTTTAAACGCGAGAATGGAGTAAGATAGATGAAAGTCGAGAACAGATATTAAACCTTAGAGACGGGAGATCCTGATTAACTACATATGAACTTCCGATTTGCAGCGGAAGTTACATTATTTCAGTTTAAAAATTTTCTTGAAATGAGTTAATTAGTTGACCAGCATGACTCTATTGCTAGCAGGAAAGTATGATGTACAGGGGCAAGACACTACTAATTTCAGATGGAGAGTATATATTAATTAAATTAAATTAATTAAAAATATACTTCATTCTTTTAGAATTTTACATTAATGTATATATATATATTTTAAGAAAAATTTTCAGTTCTAAGAATTAATTTAACTTAACGTAATAAAAATGAAATTTGTATTTTTTAGTAAGAAATTTGGTTTATAATAAAAATCTTTGTTACATATCAACATACGAAATATGGATATGATATTTGAAAATATTTACAAAATAAATATTTTGATAGTTATCGAACAGAATAAAAAAGTTATTGTGTGATAAAGATGATCGAAAGGGAAATATTTTGAGGCATAAGACGTGTATTGCCACTTACTTTGTACAAAGATGCCGATCAAAGAAAGAAACTAAATCCAACTTGATTTGTTATTATGTTTAACTCTGGTCGGAAAAGATGTTACTAAAAAGGGAATGCTATATGAAAACTACTTATGTCCACTTATTCGACAATTGTTGGAATGCCTAAGTAATAGATCAGCCAAAGAAAGGAGGAATCCTTCATACCTAACTTTTTGACACTAATTTAATATTTAATATTATTTTAATAAATTATTCGCAGAATTTATGCTCTTTACTAACCATTTAATAACGGACAATGTTAAGTGCTCAAATATAAACAAGTAGGCCTATATTTATGGTTTTTCCCGAGAATTTTTAAATAAGTTTAGTTTTTAATAAATAAAACTTGTTTACAATAAATTACAAAATAAATGAACATTAAACATAAAAAAAATACTTAAGATTTAAAAGATATTATTGTAATTAGCGTTTAATCATATTTAGGAAATTCTAAAAACAAATTTTACATTTTTTTTTTTGTTATTACATTCACTTCACATTCTATATAGATTATTGTTTTGAATATTAAATATTGATACAGACATAATAGTTTTAATAACATAAACATTAATACGTTTTTTTAAATTTTTAATTATTTAAATATGTATTTAATTTCTCAAATTGTTATACATGTTTAAAGCTGATATTTGTTTTTTAAGCCTGCTTACGTATCATTTTATACAGTAAATTCCCATATGATTTGTCATTCATCTAAAGTATATTTTTTGAATTGCTGACTTCCTGTTGATATGCAATTGATATTTGCTTTTGAGTAACATCGTGAAATCTTTATATATAGTTTCTATTTTAGATAAATTTTAAGATGCATTTATTAAATTTTTATAATAAAGAATAAAAGTGACTCACAATTAATTGAATCTCCAATCTCTTTTTCAATTAATTATGAGTTCAATTGAATCCGATCTCTTTTCAATAATTCACATTTTTCTTATTTTTAGTAAAATAGGAACACGTATTTTATTTTAATTCTTCAGAATTGTGATCAAATGAAGCGCTAATCTAATTTTTATAATAATAAAAAATATTAAAAAGACATCAGTTATTAAAACAATACATAGTGATACTCTAGAAATAACATAGACTTATAGTGAAAGTCAATTTCTATTTATATATGTTCTTGATACTACGGTTAATTAAAATGAAATTTTTCGTTTCCTCTGGCGTAGGAGGCAATGATTGATCGCTAATGAGAAATAAGTTATATAATCAGTCCTTTCACTGAGAGGTTAACTCAGTAGATAAATCTGTCACCTTTAGTTTCTCCGACAGCCATAGGAAGAAACATTAGAATGGTAAATGGCTATATGGCACAAGTTCATCACTCAAATTACTAACGCCAATCATTTTTTTTTATTTAAAAATTTTTAAGCATCGTATTCATAACTAAACACTTTTTTAAGATGACGTCTTGTTTTGCGTCACTTTGCGCAAGCAACTTAAAGAAAGATCAGTATAAATGCGTGTATTATAGAAAAGACTTCTGTCTATAGTTATTACGGTATTTTTTTAAATTGTAAATTGATTCCCTCTTAGTCCCTCAAGACGGAAGGATTCAAAAATGAGAAAAAAGGTCACATAATGCAAAGGCTACACATAATGCATTATGTATAGAGTCTTCATTATTTATAATTACTGTATTTAAATAAAAAAATGTATTTAGAATAAATTTTTCAGATTTTATGCAGATAGTGTAGTACTTTTATAATTTACTGTGGTTATATTAGATAATATTCGAGAAGTTTATTCGATTTTTTTACAGATAATGTATACACTATGAATAATAAAGCAAATATGAAATAGTTTTTCCGACAGATTAGGTTAAAAAAGTCGATGAAGATTTTGTAAATTTCATATGATTAGGCCTTTCTTTTTAGCAGTTGATAAAAATTACTATTGGTGTAATGTACGTTGTATTTAAAGAATCAAATGCACAGAATACAACAAAATTTTGATACACAGAAACATACTAAAAGTTACGATTTTAACAGCACCGACATGTTATGTAGGCTTCTGTCATCTAAAATATAAACTTTTTAGATAGGTTATGAAAATAAACACAGTTATGCAATAAGAAAACGGAAAACAATATTGACTGTGTTTATCATCATACTATGTAGATATATATTTCAGTCTGTCTTTGTGTATTAAACTTTTCAAAAAATCCCAGTAAATCGCGACTTATTGGTTTTTCAACAAAAATAGATTATTGTAAAATTTAATTGGTATTTCGTTAATTTTTCTAGAGATTGCGTAGGAAATAACTGAATATCAATTGGTTTTTGGACAGTGATCGTATTGAACTCATTTTGCACTTAAAAGAATAACCTACCGCTGTTGGGACCCGGTGAAGAAGTCTCGAAGCACTTAACCGGCACCACACACTATACTTCTGTGTGCAACAGTAAGGCACCGAGTACTTGACAAGTAATTCCTGACTATGTAATATATGCTTAGGTACGAAGCCTGTACAGAGTTTCTCTCTTGGAGAAATAAACAGATATATCACACAGTACTAGAATTAGTAGTTAGTTTAATTCATCAAGCAGACCATATAAATGTTATGAAAGATTCTTACGAAAAATCAATATTTTGAAGTTCCTTTAAAAGGACATCAACGTATTTCCGCATTTTTCGCTACTTCTAATGTATTTTCATTGTCAATATTATTGGATATACCTGTCAAGACAGTCAGACAACCGAGATAGTACCCAA